TTACATCAAGGTGGGACCAAGTGAAACAGGCCGAGCCCTTCGTGTGGCGCTGTTGAGATATGCAAATAGAAAACCATTACATGATGCAGCTCAGTTAGTTGTGCTTTACCGGCCTTGCGCTTGACATCCTGACTACATCGCGACTAAAACTACATACATAGCGACGCCGTTCTCATCAATCTGTGCAGCCGTCAGGCCGCGCCGGGCCTCGTTGCCATCTGTGGCGCGGTGTGAGCCCCGACGGAGGAGGCTCACACGCCTCACGGTCTTTGGCGCAGACCTTCAATGGGGAGAGCCACACGGCTCGGCGTAGTCTATGGCGCAGACCTCCAGCGGAGTAGGCTCACACGGCTTGTCATGGTCTCTGGCTCATACTGCGACGTCTCAGGAGTATAACGGACCCAACATCTGCCAGTGGATCTTGCCTTTTTTGCATCACATGCATTCTGCTGTTAAAATCCCTTTGGTTTTAATTGCATGCGCGGAAGCTAAGAGATCCCGATGTCAGTATCTTAGTTCCTTAAATGTTTTCCCAAGTTCGATATTATTAAATGTTGGTGGTAGTCGCGCCATTCAAAACATGTACTGACGTTCACTTATGTGACTGAACCGAAACCGAAAAAATAAAGCTGTTCTCTGCTGGCTGTCTGGGGTCACCTGCTGGCTCCGGCTCATGCAGTACGAGGGTCAAGTCTCATCGGCTGTCAAACGGAAACACATGTCTGAGATTGGCCCACAGATATCCTGGTTTGGAAATAGTCCCGTCGCTGTCCTTGCCCCCGGCAGTCCGGTTCCTCTGTCTCAACCGACTGCTCCCGGCCCCGTCGACTCCCTCTCTACCTCAGCCGAGTTTTTCTCCGCCTGCGCCGGCTCGTCCGTCTCCACCCCTTCCCCTGTCTCTTCCTCCGGCTCTGTGTCCATGCTTTAGCCGGCACCGCTCCCCGTCTGCAGCTCTGCCCAGCGCAGATGGCCGCGGCCGCTGCGGACCGGCAGGCGGCGCGGTCTGTGTCAGGGGACACCGCTCCCCGTCTGCGGCTCTGCTCGTGCAGATGGCCGCAGCCGCTGCGGACTGGCAGGCGGCGCGGTCCGTGCCAGGAGACACCGCTCCCCGTCTGCAGTTCTGCCCGTGCGGATGGCCGCGGCCTGCTGCGGACTGGCAGGCGGCGCGGTCTGTGCCAGGAGACACCGCTCCCCGTCTGCAGCTCTGCCCGTGCGGATGGCCGCGGCCGCTGCGGACCGGCAGGCGGCGCGGTGCGTGTCAGGGGACACCGCTCCCTGTCTGCGGCTCTGCCCGTGCAGATGGCCGCAGCCGCTGCGGACCGGCAGGCGGCGCGGTCCGTGTCAGGAGACACCGCTCCCAGGTGTGCAGCTCTGCCTGTGCAGGCGGCCGCTGCGGACCGGCAGGCGGCGCTGTCCGTGGCAGGCGGCGGCGGCGGCGGCGGCGGCAGCGGCCACGCCCGTCCGTCCAGCCCGCGCCAGGCAGCGTGCGTCGCGGTACCGTTCCCGCCGTCATCGCACCGCCCTAACTGCACTCGGACGTCGGCCTCGTCACCGTCCGGCCGACACACCGCTTGCCCGGCCGCGGGATGCGCTGCCGTTGTGCGAGACTGGGCCGAGCCGGCGCCTCTCTGAGTGATCCGTCCCGGTGGGCTGGTCTGAACAGATCGCTGCGTTCGGGGTCGCCTGGTCTCGACAGATCATCGCCGTCCGGGTGTTGTATTCGCTGGGCTCGTCTCTCGCCGCGTCGGACGGCTCATGAGCTGACTGGCCGCTCCGTGCGGCGGAGTGTGTGGCGCGCGTGAGACAGAGCGGACGCCTGTCTGCAGCGTCTGACCGTGACCGAGCCGCGGGTACGGTAGTTTCCGGACCTGCTGGCCAGGGTTGCGGTAAGCATATGCCGTGGTGTATCATTCTGATAAGTGCGGTGTGATCACCGTCCGCGATGGGATAATCACAGGAAACAGTTGGACCGCATTATTTGCTGAGGACCGACGCACCTGGCCTCGAAAGCGGCCCCGGTATGTTACGCCACTGCACCGGGTGCTCGTGTCCGCTCAGCGATATAGTGGCGCAGAACTGGCGTTATCCTGTGCAGAAGCGTATATTCCGCCGATCGGCGTCCCACTGGCCCAGCTGGCGCTCTGGGAGCCCTTCCTCCCCTGAGAGCTCTCCCTCCCCAGTGTACCGTGTCGTACCGCCCAGTATGGCCGGGGCGTCCCTTCCGTCAGCGGCGGCGGGCTCCGGCGCCGCACTGTCGTCAGACGGCCCGGGGCGGTGACCCGCTCTGACGCAAGCCCCACCCCGCCGGTCGCCGCCAGACCGGCGCCCAATAACGGCAGGATCTGACCCTGCCGGCGCCAGTCCCGACCGAGGCCCGCCGGGCCGACGGCCGGCCGGCGCTGGAGAGAGCCGGCCACAAGCGGCGTCGGTGCGGCGCGTCGGGCCACCAGCTTCGTGCTTGTGTCTTGAACACGACCTTGCAGCGCGGATCGCTTGCGATGCCAAACGCTGCCATGGAGTAAATGGACTTGATGGCAGATCATTTTCACCGGTGATGGACCCTCAGCAGGTGAATGCAAATCAGCGCCGCTCACAAAACATCCACTGACGCGTTGACATGTGCTAAGTGGGATGTACGGGGAGTGTTGGTTATGCAGATTTTCTGTTTTAAGAAAGCATCTCATTATCGCTTTCTTTGCATAAGGCTTGTAGGCCGTCTTTATCGGTTCGGACACAGGACGGTGGCAAAATAAATGCGATTCATGGTAGAAATGCGCGTAACTCCCCGAGTGCGCATCTGAAAGGAAAAACGTGTGACCTGTTCACAACGCATCGTGCCCTATCCATCCCCGCGCAAAGCCATTGGCAGTCGTGGTCATGGGTGTATTTAGGTAAATGAACCACGGTGATGCGTTGATGAAACTCGATGTTACGAGACATAGCCCCAAATATTTAATTTAACGCAGGTCATTGCCTTTTCCATAGCGGGTAAATACAGTGAGCACTAAATAGCATTTTCCTGTGCTTCGTAGCACTTCATGCACTAGTTCTAAATGTTGCTTAATTGGCCGCGAGCTGTGTCATTGTCGGTCGTTTGCACAGCTTCGGTCCGTTCCGTTCACAGTTCGCAGCTATGAGAAATGTCTACGCTCACCTATGCACGAACCGAAGCAACAAAAACCACCGCGGTGGTTTTAACGATCTCGTGCAATACTCGGGTTGCATTTGTCTGATTTAATTGTAGACGCGTGACATGATGATGCTGCCGCTAATTGGGCGCCTCCACTTCTGTGGAACTACGGCTGGGACTTCGTGCAGAACATCTGCACTAATCGCCGTCACGGTGGCGTGAATATCAGCCGTGGAGTGCGCGGATACCAGCGGAAAGCGACAGTGGTGCGTGACGGATGGCTCCGAGCGGTCGTCCGCCCGCGCCAGATTACCATAGATTTCATGGCGTAAAACGTGGGATAGACTCTGGCAGTGTTTGACTGACGGCCGAATCACTCACAATTACTGCGCATTTGTATTTCAATGGTATCTGACGTAATATCTTCGCTGCGCAGGCGAAACCGAGCCAGCACCCTGACATGTGTGTGGTTTTGCGTATCGTAAATGAGCGAGACGTGCGGGAAACAGAGAGTGAAAAGAGAGAGAGAGAGAGAGAGAGAGAGAGAGAGAGAGAGAGAGAGAGAGAGAGAGAGAGAGATAGAGAGAGAGAGAGAGAGAGAGAGGAGAGAGAGAGAGAGAGAGAGGAGAGGAGAGAGGAGAGAGAGAGAGAGAGAGAGAGAGAGAGAGAGAGGAGAGAGAGAGAGAGAGAAGAGAGAGAGAGAGAGAGAGAGAGAGAGAGAGAGAGAGAGAGAGAGAGAGAGAGAGAAAAGAAGAGAGAGAACGAGGAGAGAGATAGAGAGAGAGAGAGAGAGAGGAGAAGAAGAAAGAGAGAGAGAGAAGAGAGAGAGAGAGAGAGAGAGGAGCGAGAGATAGAGAGAGCGA